GGTCACCTGGATCACGGGCTGCCTTCTCGTTTCCAACTTACTAAGTTGGTGGCAGTGTCAGCAAGCTCCCTGTGACGAAGCAGGGGGCTGGAGTGAGCTCCTAAGGATGCTGTTTTCATGCCCAAGTGTCTGATGTGCTTACAATCTGCAATAGCAATGCTCTGTTTTCTGCATTTCAAACAAATGAACTGACACTGGGTAGAGGTTTCTTTAAGATATTGCTTCATGACTGATGAAATTCCCTTTCCAGTAGATTTTTCATTTCTTTTGGCCTTTGGCATAAGTAAATGTCAGCTTCTTAAAAATCAACAGAAAAGAGTAAACAGTAGGGTCTCTGTAATTTTCTTGGGATTTGAGAAATCTCCCCTCCCTGGCTTCTGACTGGATGGTGTCTGTACATTGCTTCCTATGGTACAGGGAAGGGTGAGGTCCACCCAGACATGCTGTCTCATTTTTATATTTGCTGAGATCTTGGAACACTCTCCTTTCATCAGGTACGTTGAAAATTTTAGGACTGTCTGCAGAGAGTGAGGGTCAGTACGTGGAAAGGTTAGCACATGCAGTTCTTGGACTGACCCTGGGGTTTAAGAAGAATTTTTTTTTTTGGTACTAGTTTCAGCTCTGCCTGTCTTTTATTGTGTGAATTTGGGCAAGTCACTTCTCTTCTCTGGAACTCAGTTTCTGCTTTTGTAAACTGAAGACAGTAATCCTTGTCCTAGTTCTTACCCAATGCTGTAGAGTGAAGATTAAGGCAAAGAGTTGAGAGAATGCTGGCGAGGGAAGGGCTTGCTACTGTCAGTAAATGGTGACGTTCTTCAGGGCACCAGGACTGGCAGCCGTTACCCATCCCAACATGTGACTAGAGAGCCCAATGCATACCACGGCACCAGGCATCATAGACTTCATGTCTTAGGGCTCAAACTATTTCTGCTTACAAGTTGTGGGACTTTGGGCAAGGGGCTCAATGCTCAGTAGCTCAGCTTTCCCGTCTCTCAAGTGGGTATCCAGAGTAATTATATCAATCCAGGTCTAGAGTGCCTTATCCGAAACTGTTGAAGCTACACAGGTTTTGGAGTTTAGAATTTTTGGATTTAGAGAAGCTATGTGGAGCATATGACGTTTATTATTATAAGACCCCTTAATGGGACTGGGGTAGTAGTACACTGTGCTCAAACATGTTAGTATTTTCTAAATGGAATAAATAAATAGCCACATGTCAATTCAGGTCCAATTTTGCAAGGAAATGGGTTTATTTCCCCCCTCACCGAGTAATTTCAGCTCTCAGAAACTTTGGAACATCAGAGAAGCATGTGTGGCATTGTGACAGCGGAAAATAGAGTGTTTTATTTATTTCGTGCTTGTGATGTGCCAGGAATTGTACCAGGTATGCAATAGCTCATTTACTTGGCTGAATGGGCCTATGAGGTAGGTAGGTAGTATTATTATCATCTCCATTTTACAGCTGAGGAAACTGAAATTCACAAATGGTTAAATCACTCGCTCAGGGTCTCAAAGCCAGTAAGGACCAGAGCTAGGACTCCGATCCAGATGATCTGGCTGTAGACTCTGTGCTCTAACCATCCTCTCTGCCTAGTCTGTAGGGTTAAAAATGAGGCTGTGATTGCCTACAGGAGCCAAGCAGGTCGCTGTGAAACATCAAGATGCCTGGGCGGGTACTGTGAGCACATGTGCCATCCACAGGGAGTGCGCCACTCAGCTCTCCTTGGCTTTTTCACGTTGGAGAGAAAATCCAACTCTCAGCTTTTCCCAGAGAAGCCCGAAATCCAGCCTTTTGTGTGAAATCGCCTGACTTTGACATGTTGGCAACTAATTAAAAATGTTAAAAAACATTGTATGGGTCAAATAAAATCTGTCTGCAGTCTGGCTCTAGTCTGTGGCTGCCAGTTTGCGAGTTCTGCAATGAGGAAATAGTTGTGAAAGTGCTTTGGAGACTTAAAAACGTGTTCTAGAAACAGAAGGTCTCATTTTAGGGTGAAGTCTTTTTTTTTTTTCTTCCTTGACTGTGGTCTCGTTTTTTGAAAACTGAGTTCCTGGCCTGATGGGAGATGAAAAGTAGGAATTAAATAGAGACTTCAGTGAACTCGAATGCTTCATTCCTTTGGCAGGCTGGATAAATGAGAAGCCTAGGTGTACTGGACGGGCTAAGCCTCAGAATTCCTGCCACACCCACGGGCCCCTTCTAAGGAGTTTCCATCCACAGACCCTAGCCAAGGGAACTAGCAGTTTCTTATGAATAGGTGGCTATGTTTGGTACCACGTGATCCTGCTTACCCTGGCAATAGCTGATTGAGCCAGGAGAGGGCGTCTGATCCACGGGCAGTCACTGGCAAGCAGTCTATGAAGGAACCCGGCATGAGAACTTTGCCCAACAAATAGAATGATGACTGAATTTGGACCAGTGAGAGTCTCTCTCTTGGGGAGTTTGAATCCCAGACCTAGGGAGGGCGAGCAGTTGGCCACAGGGGCAGAAGTTGAACACAGAGAAGGCAGGCAGCGGGGTCCATGCATAAGCAGGACCAAGAGAGAGTGCTCTGAGTCTCAGCTGTGTGCCAGAGACTTTACACGTGTTTTCTTTACTACAGTCAAAGAGTCTGCAAGGTAGCTACTATTATGACCCCTGTTTTACAGATGAGGAAACTGAGGCAAAGCAACGTGAAGTGCTGGGAGTTGAGCACAGGCCTGTTTGATGTTAAAATCGGGGCATATGAACTCCTGAATCAGGGTGTGTAGAATTGAGAGCATTTCAGAATCACTTAGGTTAAAGTGCAGCTTCCTTGGCTTCACTTTAAACCTGTTGAAGGTGACTCTTTGAAAGGGGAGCCCCAACCCCCAAATGTGCATTTTAGCAATCCTTCTAGGGGACAATTAATTCAGGGCTTCCCCACCACGCTTTTATTCCAAGAAACCAGTTTTTTTTTTTTTTTTTAAGATTTAGTTATTTGAGAGGCAGAGTTACAGACAGAGAAAGGGACAGACACAGAGAGAGGTCTTCCATCTGCTGGGTCACACCCTAAATGACCGCAGTGGCCAGAACTGGGCTGATCTGAAGCCTGGAACCTGGAGATTTTCTGTGTTTCCCACACGGGTGCAGGGGTCCAAGCACTTGGGCCATCTTCTACTGCTTTCCCAGGGCATTGGCAGGGAGCTGGATCAGAATTGGAGCACCAGGACATGAACCAGTGCCCCTCTGGGATGCTGGTGCTGCAGGCAGAGGCTTGGCCTACTATGCCATAGCACTGGCCCCTAGAAACTAGTTTTAGAGGGTATGGCAAGTACTGTGTGCCACATTACCATCACCTGCAGAAACAAAGTCAGTGTCCCCAGCTTTGGTCCAATTCCAATATAAGGTCTTTTGAAAAAGGGGCCAGTTCTGCAAAGATGAAGACAATAGTTTATCTTCTTTTCTCATTAAGGAAGTACAGGCTAACGCCGGTTATCAGAGAGAAGATGACAGGCTTGAGATGATAACTCAGCAGTTGTATGGAAGACCTGGTCTACTCTTGAGAGTGCATAGCTCCTAGTGAGCATATGTTCACTGAGCAGTTTCCACAAGGAGCATGCATTTCAGGAACTTGATGCCCCGGCAACAACGAATATGAGAGGAAGTGACCAAATGCAGACATACTGTAAACCGTGCAACTGAATATGTAAAACCTCCTCACTGGGCTGGTCAGAGCAGTTCTCTTCTCAGCCGCGGAGAAGTTGTGTGGGGATCCCAGCCATGCCCTTATTTACAGCACTGATGAGAATGCTGAAGAGCAGGGGTTCAGAACTGGAGCCGTCCTTCCAAGTGCCTGCAGAATCCCAGCTTTGGCAATGGAGTTCAGCACCCCTTGGATTCTCCTGCCATTAGGAATGCCCCCCCTGCCACCCCCAGCCAGGCAAGTAATAGCCCGATGGCTCTTTGGAGAGTCTCAGTCCAAATGCTTAATGACATCAGGCGCTTATTCCTACACAAGAGCTGTGTGGTCCAAGGGGTGGCACAGGTCAAGTGTGTTGGCCAAGTCCCGCTTCAGCAGGGCTTGAATTCCCACTTGGCAACTTTTCTCCCTCTCCCTCTGTTCCTGCGTACACTGTTCTTTATCTAAGTTAAATGTCCTCGCTTAGGTTAAGGTCAAACTCTGTTCCTCTCTCTTTTGGCCAGCAAGACTTCCTGTCTTACAGGTATCTGATCTTATCTGTGTTGATATTGTAACTCTCAGTGATTCCCTAAAGCAGGTCCTTGGACAAATGCCCATCCTCCAGGAAAATTGCAGCCATCCACGGTACAATGAGAAAGCCTGAGGACTATGTAGCGAATGGTTTGTAGAGAGATGAGAAATTCATTTCAGTGAAAGGACTGTCATTTCCTCTGAGATAATTTCCTTCTCCTTTGATGTTTAAATAAATCCCCCCCTTTTTTAGGAAATGATAATTTCGTGATGTTTTGTTTTGTGTCTTAATGCCTTTAACTTGGAAAAATAAAAAAAAAAGCTGGCAAATCCAATATCAGTCCTCCAATTTTTTTCTTTTAGTTTGCAATAGCTGCAAGTCTGGGAACCTGATCTAATTTGTACAGTTCTGCTAGTACCCCTAGGTACCTCCTATTGCCACTTATGTTCTAAGTGCTTATAAATTACCTGCTTCATAATCTGCGGCAGAGTCTCTCCGAGGACTGACATCAAGCCTGCAGCTCTGGAGTTTACACTATACCGGTCTGTAGTTTCCTTATTTAAGAAAATTGGGACACTGCCCATTTGCGTCCTCCGGTATCCCTCCTGTTCTCTCCGATTCCACAGACCCTTCAGGACGGCACCTAACGTGAGGCAGTTCCGTTTGCTCTTCTTATAATGTTCTTTTCCCTATAGAGTTGGACATGCATATACATGTTGTTTGGGGAATTTGCAGCACATCCAATGAAAGCGTAATTCCCAACCAACAGTCAAATCCTTTTCTTTGGAGCTACCCCAAACACACCTACCCTGTCTTCCATATGACAGCCCTTCAGAGACTTGAAGACACTGTGTGACTCTCTCGTGAGTTAAGAGCACTGGCTGAGTCAGACAGACCCGAATGACAAGCCCAGCTTCGCTCCCTCTCAGCTGTGAGAGCCAAGGTAAGTTCTTGCATTTTAATTTCTCTTGACTTCAGCCCTTTAGCTGATTTACAAAGTGGGGCAAAACCCCCGCTTCATTGGTTGATTGTGCAGTGAAATAATCTAATGTATGTGAAGTGTGTACCACAGTGCCTGGCATAGTAAGGACTCAGCAAATGCCAGCTGTCTCCCCCCTCTATTTATCAAGAGCTGGGAGGGGGCATTGCAAGGGTCACGGCTGTTGGGGGAGCAAGGGGGTGGGGACCACTTCTCTGTCCCTGAATGATCAGGGAAGACGGAGGACCCTAAAAAAGACCACCAATTTCTTGGTCCTTTGCTTGTCTGTTTTTAGCAGTCTGAGTGCCTATTTGCAGGGCTTGGGGGAGAGGATATTGTCGAGAAATCGAGGGAAAGGCTTATTTTCAGCAGCTGGAAAGCCATTTGTTGACATATCGAACAGTTTCTTGTTTATTCTGATTTCCCCGAGCAGCTAGCCATGCAATCCCCTCAACTCAATTACCGTTTGTGAGGCGGCAGGAGCATGACACCTCCTAGCCATATTGATCAGCACAGACTGGTGGGACGTGAGGGACCTGAGAGATGCTAAGCAGTAATTTCTGGGCTTTTCCTTCCTCAGAAGGCCTCCCTTCTCTGTGTTCCTAGAGACTTGGGCTTTAATAAAACGGAAGTCCATGTCCTACGTGGGCTGTGAATGCAAGAATCCTGTCTCAGTAGCCTCCTTAGAAGGTTGATAAAAGTGGTCATGATGGACCAGAACTTGGAATCCAGGGGTGAGCGATGCCAGAATGGTTTTGGAACTGTGGCTCTTTGCACACACTGGGCTGTGCAAGCAATTGCATGATATGAACTCTGAATGCCATTGAAGCTCGAAAAAGTTTGGAGGGGACACACCCCAGTGTGAACAGGCAGAGGGATGGGATGTGTGAGGCTGGTGGGGGTGCGGGAGGGGTGGGGGAGTCTCAGGACTTGAGCTTTATTTGTATGGAGAATGTTGCATTTTTGTCCTGAGAATGCATTCCAAGATTACTTGTGTGATGATTAAACGTAGAGTTAGAAAAATAAATCTCGTTAAAAACCAAAATGATAGCATGAAAGCGAACTGTTGGAGACACTTTGCAGAAGTCACTTCTCAGCAAGCATCCAAGTGGGGCATCCGCTAAGCTTGTTAGGGAGAAAGGTTGCCTGTGTGTGTGTGTGTGTGTGTGTGTGTGTGTCGGGGGGAAGTATTTAGGGTCCCTAGAGACAGTGTGCAGGAAGGGGAGTGGAAAGGGCTAGAGACAGATCCCAGGGAGTCCTGCCTTTTAAAAACATGAAAATGAACTCTTGAAACTTGTCTCTTTTCATCTCAGTATTATGGGTCCATTATAGACAAATGAGAAAATACAGATCAGGAAAATGAAAATAAAAATCCTCTCTAATTCCATCATTCAAGTATGCTCACTGTTAACATGTTGGTATACATCCTTCCACGTTTTATTTTTCTATGAAAATATCTACACATTTCTTTTATAAAAGTCAGATCATTATGTACATACTTGAAATATATGAGTAGTTTTCATTGGCTGCATTAGTGGCTACTACGATTGCACCATGACTTATTTAATTAGTTCAATCATTAATAATTTAGAATATAACTATGAGACTTATATTATAACATCAGCGATTTAGCTTGTTACCACTTTTTTTTTTTTTTCTGCAAACAACTGTGCTGTGTACCTGTGTGACACTGGGGAAGTTGCCTAACCTCTCTGTGCCTCTGGTTTCTCATCCTGAACATGAGAGTGCATTTTCTGTGACTATGTTTTAGTTTAGGGTAGGGGAAAGAATGACTTTTTTTTTTTTTTTTGAATGGTATACAGGGGTACTCCACAAAGGTCGTGGGAAATGGAATTAAAAGATGAGTTTATTTTGGTGCTCTGAAAGTTTGAAATCTTTTCATAATGCACGTTTTCCCACAGTTTTTGAAGAGCTCTCATAATATGGTGACCTCTGGAGTCAGAGCTCTGTGCTTTTGGTCAATGTCAATTCACCATGCCGAGGCTTAGTTTCCTTATCTGTAAACTGAAGGTTGACAGGACCTAGCCCCCAGGGTAACTTTAAAGGCCCAATGAAATAATGCTTGTGAGGCCTGGGTATCCCTCTGGGGAAGAATTTGATTAAGGACACTTGGTATTATAACTGTTATTACAGTAATGATCCAACCACTTGTAGTCAGAAAGTTTCCTTGCTTGGTGGGGTGGTGGTTATGGAGGAAGAGGGCAGCGAGTAGAGCACTTAGGGTGTTGTTGATCCCTTGTCCGATTGCAAAGAGAAAATGATCTTGGAAACCAGACTGGCTGGGCCTCAGATCTGGGCTCCGCCATTTACTCGCTCTGTGACCTTGGTCACATAAACTTCTCCCAGCCCGTTTCTCCATTTACGAGGCATTGCATGGATGGTGCTTAGCCCAAGTGCTCAGTTATGGTTGGTTGTTTATTATGGGTTGTTATTGGTTGCCCAGCATGAGGTACATAATGAGCTGAATGCCCCACCCCCCTTGCCAAACTCTGAGTCCTTGTGTCTGGGCTACTTGAACTTCACCTGAAGGCTTCACCCTATCCAGGGCTTAGGGAGCAATTGTGCCCCTAGACCGAGACTTTAAGTGGTCTCATTCCAGAAAACTGGAGGACCCTGGTAACCTGTTAATTCTCCTCTGAGCTTATGCCCCAGTTCTAGACAGCAGGCTGCATCCCCATGTCCAGTTGGTCTATTCAAGGCTGGCATCTCTTTCTTGCCAGCTGCCTGAAATCCATGGAGCCACACTGGGGAATCCTAGCCCTGGGGCAGGGACAACGGTGACCAGATGTCCATCTGTGTCCCTCACTCTTGGGGCAAACTAGCTTTTTGATTCTCATGATTGCGCGGCTCGGTTAAGGGGTTTGCTCCCTAGCTCCGACTGCATGTCCTCCTCAACCCTGCTTTCCCTGCATGTGACCTGTTTTGAAAATGCCTCCTGTGGCTCCATTCAGTCTCTGGCCCTGGTTCCTTCCCTCTAAGGGCCCTGCCTATGTCATAGCAGTTTGAAGGGCCCAGCTGCTCACACTGTTGCATTGTGTCCAAGCACAGAGGGTATAGGTCTCATTTCCTGAGCCAGGACCCTTGCGATCTCCTCTCTTTAATTGTGTCAGTCTCCTTTGTGTGGCAGCCAGGGCCGGGCATGGTGGGGTGGGGCATGTGCTGGTGGGACTATTGGAAGTGAGGGGAGACGGGTAGAGTTGCAGAGGCCAAGTGTTCAAGCAGAGCTTCTGGAGGGATGTCAAATGAAAGGCGGCCAGAGGCAAATGTCAGAGCCTATATAGAGGCAGGAATCTGGGACCAGAGAGTCAGAGCAAGCACTAGCAAGTCAGGAGCAGCGGGGCGGGTGGGAAGGCAGGCTAGCTGGCTGGCGGGCAGGAGGGGGTGTGGCAGGGGCTAGCAAAGGGAGATCGCAGGGAACAGCTGCTGGTACTGGATCTTACTTTAATGAACTGGCTGGGCATGGGGAATAAGTCAATTGGTCAGACTAAATGAGCTAGGGGAGCAGAGGACACTGGCTCCCTCTTCTCCATTGCTAACAAGGTACGATCTTTCTGGATTTTGCCGGGTGGGGAACTGTGGCAAGTTCCAGGCCTTTCCTAAAGATGGGAAGTGGATGTCTATGACTGCCATTTGGGCTCATCTTTTCCTTTGGCCCAAATAGAAGAATAATCAAGATGTCAGCAGGAGGCTAGTATTTCTTGTGTGACTCCCCATCTCATGGTTGTCCAGGCTGATGACAGAGGGAGGCATCTTGGTAATGTGACTGAGTAAGGAGGGAGGGTGGCTCATTATAGTACAGTGGTGAGGAGTAGGGGACCCTGGGTTAGATGGATCTGAGGGTCTATGTGACTGCAGGAAAATTATTAAGCTTCTCTGGGCCTTAATTTTCTCATTTGTAAGATGAGTAAGGAGCACTGCAGGTCTGAGTGTTGCTATGGGAGGCAAATGAAGTGATGCATGTAAAGTGCCTCACAGAGTGTCAGCCCGCCTTGGCCTGCCCAGGAAATGTTCACCCTTGGTATTTTCTTTTTTTTTTATTTTTTATTTTTATTTATTTATTTTTTGACAGGCAGAGTGGACAGTGAGAGAGAGAGAGACAGAGAGAAAGGTCTTCCTTTGCCGTTGGTTCACCCTCCAATGGCCGCCGCGGCCAGTGCGCTGCGGCCGGCGCACCGCGCTGATCCGATGGCAGGAGCCAGGAGCCAGGTGCTTTTCCTGGTCTCCCATGGGGTGCAGGGCCCAAGCACCTGGGCCATCCTCCACTGCACTCCCTGGCCACAGCAGAGAGCTGGCCTGGAAGAGGGGCAACCGGGACAGAATCCGGCGCCCCGACCGGGACTAGAACCCGGTGTGCCGGAGCCGCTAGGCGGAGGATTAGCCTAGTGAGCCGCGGCGCCGGCCCACCCTTGGTATTTTCGTCACTAGATTTCTCATCACGAGATTGATGACTTTTGTGACATTGTCCCTAAGTGGTGAGTCTTCTATTTTTTTTTTTTTTTGGCATGGGCAAGTTATGGGGACGTGTGAACATTGTGTAATATCTGCATTGGTTTCCAAGTGGTATGTCAAAATGTCCCCTTCTGGGGCTGCTTATGGATGTGGGTTGGAGGTACAAGGCTCTGGTATTGTCCACCCCCTGTCATTAGAAAAACTTGACAACTGTACCAGCTATAGATTGGGCTTCAAGTGGGTCAGGCTCAAACACTAGGTAACCCTGAGGAGTGGGTGAGAGTCAAAGATACAGTTTGGTACTGTCACAGTGACCCTGCATTTTAGTCCCAAGTTTAGCTAATCTGAGCAGTCTGGTTAAATGGGAATAATGATTTTAGCTATTGCACAATGTATCTTATGATTCAAATGAGATCTTGCCTGCAAATCCCTGCACATTTCAGAGAGTTTAAAGCTGGGTACAGTTACCTAAAGTACAGCAACTGGCATATACTAGGTGAACAATCAATAGTAGTGGTTGTTCTTGTCTTTAGTAATAATAGTGGGGGCTGGCATTGTGCTGCAGTGGATTAAGCCACCGTCTATGACTCCAGCATCCCATATGAATGCTGGTACCAGCCCTGGCTGCTCCACTTGTGATCCAGCTCCCAGATAATGCACCTTGGAAGGCAGTGGAAGATGGCCCAAATCCTTGGACCCCTGCCACCCATTTGGGAGACCCAGATGGAGTTCCAGGCCCCTGATTTCAGCCTGGCCTAACCCTAAGGGTCATTTGGGGAGTGAACCAGTAGATAAGATCTCTCTTTCACTCTCCCTCTCCAACTCCTTCCTTCAAATAAATAGCTTAAAAATTTTGAAAATATTATAAGTAATACTAATGATGATGATGATAATAATACTTAGGAGTTTTAGTTCATGGGTTGAAGCCCATGAACTAATGGGCTTCACATCAATGCCTTCATTTTCCTAAGGAGCACATTCAGGGCCATCAGAGTAGTGAAATGGGCACTAAACCACCAGCAGACTCAATGAGTTCTGAGAACTAATGATTATCCTGGGGCAATGGGCTTTTGATGAAGGTCTCCCAGTACCTTGACTGTCTTGTTAAGTGCCGCTGTGGGATAGAATGTAACCCAGCAACCTGCATTTCTCACAGTCGGCCAGAAGGTGGTGATGCTGCTTCACGTAATGCAGTGCTAACCAGGCTCCTGCCTGCTGAGGTTGTGGGCATTCATAAACTGAGAGTCTGTGCTGTGCTAAGTAACCGGGTGGGTTGGTTTGAAAAGAATAAAGGCACAAGGAATAGTCTAGCTTCTAAGTCATCCACTGCTGCAGCTTGTTTAACCTGATAGGTCCATCTTTAATGTCATTTATCTGACAACACATTAAAAACAGGTCTCTACTTCAGGAGAGGGTATATTTCAAAAAGTTCATTGTTATGGAAATATGGAATTAAAGAGAAGTTTTTAGGATGCATTTTTGGAAATATATGCATAGCTTTTCATAATGCACATTTTCCATGATCTTTTTATGACCTCATGTATGTATGGGTTTCAAAAAAATTTAAATGAATCAATTTGAGTGCGAGGCACAGAAGGAGACAGAGACTGAAAAAGAGCTGCCATTGCTGGTTTACTTTCCAAATGCCCACAATGGCTGGAGCTGGGCCATGTTGAAGCCAGGAGCTGGTCATGCAACCCAGCTCTCTCACATGGGTGACAGGAGGCCAGCTACTTCAGCTACCACTGCTGCCTCCCAGGGTGCAGATTAGCCAGATGCTGAAATCAGAAATCAAAGCCAGAGAGTTGAATGCAGAAACTCAGGTATGTGACATAGACATCTTCATGGCTAGGCTAAATGCCCACCCCTGGATATCAAAATTTTTGCACCGAAATAAACTTATCTTCCAATTCAATTTTTTCATGAACATTTTGAAGTACCCTTGTATGAATCATTTATCTATTCTCCAATTTTTTTGATACTAGCTTTTGACCTCTAAATTTGTTTCTTGCTTACAGATATTCTTGTTACTTGGGCTTCAACGCTGATATCATCACTTTAGGGGATCCCTCCACACTGCCCTCTGGTCACAGCAGATATGTCAGTACCTTTACATTCACTGCGATTCAATAATATGCGGAGGGAAGAAAATGTTGACCTCCAAAGTGGGGGTATGAGCTTCTCTAGACTGATGACAGAGACCAGGGCAGAAGTGCAAATTCCTCCTTCTCATGCACAGTTGCCTACAACCTCAAATTCAGCCTCAGACCCCGGAGGAACAACCACACAACTGATGGCATCCCCGGCCTTTGACACCATATCTGCATCTATGATGGGAGTGGCAAACTCTGAAGCAGAGTCTCCACCACCCATACCAGCGTCAGACTCTGGGACACTGTCCCCATTGCTAATGCCAGCCTCAGATTCTGGAATATTGTCCCCACTGCTAATGCCGGCCTCGGACCCTGGGACACTGTCCCCATTGCTAATGCCAGCTTCAGATTCTGGAACATTGTCCCCGTTGCTGTCCACCTCAGAGTATGGGTTAATGTCCCCAGGTATGATGACAATGCCTGACTTTGGAACAATGTCCACAGCACTACTGGCAGCAACAGATTCTGCAGAGGAATCACCATTGGCAATGCCAGCTGCGTCCTCTGGAGCGATGTCTACACCTGCAATGAGCACTTCATCCTCCGAGGCCATGTCTGCACCATTAATGCTGGCCCCAGATCCTGGAGAGCTATCCCCACTCCTCCTTCCAGATATAAACCCTGGAGAGATGTCCATACAGCCAATGCCAGCTTCAGGCTCTGAAGCAATGTCCCCATTGCAAATTACAGATGAAGACACTGAGGCAATGTCCAAAGTGCTGATGACTGCCCTTGTCTCTGGAGAGATCTCTTCCCTGCTCATGTCAGGAACAGACAGTGAAGCGATATCCTCCCTGATAATGTCAGCCCTAGCTTCTGGAGAAACATCATCTCAGCCAGTGAGCAACCACGATGCTGGGGGACTGTCTACCCAGCTCATGCCAGGCCCAGACTCTGGAATACTGTCCTCACTGCTAATGTCAGCTCCAGACTCTGAAGCAATGTCCTCGCCACTGCTGTCAGTTGCAGAGGGTGAAGAAATGTCTATGTTACCAAAGTCAGCCTCAGATGCTGAAGCAGTGTCCCCGCTGTTGATGATGGCCCTAGCCTCTGGAGTGATACCTAGCCAAATGATGCCAGTCCCGGGCTCTGGAGTGATGTCTCCACATTTACCACAGCAACCAGACACTGAAATTGTGTCTACTCTACCAATGAGCGCAACAGCATCCGGGGTGATGGCCATACCACCAATGAGAGCACCCGACTCTGCAGTAATGTCTGCACCACTAATGAGAACCCCAACATCCAGAAATATGTCTACATCACCAAAGACTGTCCTAACTTCTGGAACCATGTCCACCCCACTGATGACAGTCACAAGCTCTGCGACCATGACCATAGAACAAGTGCCAACCACAGCCTCTGGAGTGATGTCCACACAGTTACCAATGGCCCAAACTTCTGGAGCAATTCCCACAGGCTTTATGAAGGCCACAGCCAAAGGCGCAAAGTCTACACAGAGAATGAGAGCTCCAACCTCTGGGATGATATCCGCACCACCAAGGAGAGCCTCAGCTTCTGGAGTGATGTCTGGGCAGCCAGTAACAGCCACAGCCTCTGAAACAATGTCCATGCCACAACTGACAGCCCCAGCTTCTGGCTCAATCTCCACACTGCAAATGATAGGTCCTGTTTCTGGATCAATGTGCATGTCACAAATGAGGACCACAGTCTCAGGCTTGACATCTACACCACAAATGAAAGCCATGGCATCTGGGGCAATATCTACCCCGCTAATGACAGCCAAAGCCTCAGGATCATCATCCACACTGCTAATGAGAGCTCCAGCCTCTGGAGCATTATCCAAGCCACTGATGACACCCAAAGCCTCTGGAGCAATGTTCATGCAGCAACTGTCAACAGCGGCTTCTGGAGCAATGTCCACATCACTACTTGGAGCTCTATCCCCACCCCAAATGACAGACACAGCCTCTGGAGGGATGCCAACACTGCTAATGGGAGCCACTTCCTCAGAAGTGATGTCCACATCACAGATGACAGGCACAGCCTTGGGGGCGATGTCCATGCCAGAAATGAAAGCTCCAAGCCCTGGAGCAATGACCACATCACTAAAGAGGGCCCCAGCCTCTGGAAAGATGTCAAGTCAGCCAGTAGGCACCCAAGACTCTGGAGGGATGTCCACATCACTTGCGAGACCCATGAGCTCTGGAGGGATGCCCATGAGAGCCCCAGCTTCTGTTGTGATGTCCACATCAACAGTGAGAGCCCCATCCTCTGGAGCAATGTCCACAGTGCTAATGAGAGCCTCAGACTCTGGAGAGTTGTCTGCACTGCTCACGAGAACTTCAACATCGGGAGAGATGTCCCTGGCACCAATGAGGCCCTCAGTGTCCAGAGACATAGCTACACCTCTGAGATCCCCACCTTATGGAGCAACATATGCTCCACAAATGATGGCGTCCCTGCCACAAATGAAGGCTCCAGTCTCTGGAGCAATGTCTGCACAGCTAATGAGATCCACAGCCTCTGGAACTCTGTCTGTGCCTCACATGACCTCCATGGCCTCTGGAGGGATAACTGCACCACCCATGAGAACCCCAGCCTCCAGAGGGGTGTCCACACCCAAACTGCTACCCATAGCTTCGGGAGACACATGCGTGCTCCCAGTGGCCACACCGCTAAGGAGACCCTCAGTTTCTGAAGCTATGTCCATGGAATTAACAAGAGCTTCAGCCTCTGGAAGGATGTCCACTGCACAGATGACAGCCATGGTCTCTGGGGGAGTGTCCCAGCCATTAATGAGGGCCACAGCCTCTGGAACAGCATCCATGCCTTTGATGTCAGCCACAGCTTCTGGAGAGATGTCTATGTCGCTGATGAAAACCATGGCCTCTGGAGCAACATCCACACCACAGACCAGAGCCCCAAGCTCTAGATCTTTGTCCTTGCCGCAAACGACATACATAGCTTCTGGGGGAATGGCCACACCACCAATGACAGCCTTAGATTCTGGAGAAATGTCCACAGCTCTTTTGAGAGCCTCAGCTTCTGGAACCATGTCCACACCACTACTGAGAACCTCTGCTCCTGTAGGGATGCCCACGCTGCTCTCGAGGGCCCCAACCTCTGGAGCAATGAGAACACCTCAAACAGCCTTAGGAATGACGTCCACCTCCAAAACCAAAGCCGCAGACTCTGGAGAGGTCTTTACCCCTCACGTCAATGTCACAGCCTCTGGATCAGAGTCCATGCCACACATGACTGCCACAGCCCCTGAGGCAACAAATGCACAACCCAAGGAAGTACCATCCTTTGGAATGCTGACTCCAGCACTCTGCTACCTCTTAGAAGAGCAGGAAGCAGCCCGAGGTTCATGCTCCGAGGAGGAAGAGATGGAGGTTGATGAGGAGAAGCAAATGAAGGGATTTCTGGATGATTCGGAGAAAATGGCGTTTCTGGTGTCTCTTCATCTGGGGGCAGCAGAGAGATGGTCCATCTTGCAGATGGAGGTAGGAAACCCCCTCTCAGATGAGAGCCAAACTTTCCTCAGCAGGTCACAGGGTCTGTATGACTCCCTATCTGAGATAGACATCCTCAGTGCTGTCCTCTGCCATCCCAAGCAGGGCCAGAAGTCAGTCAGGCAGTATGCCACTGACTTCCTGCTGCTGGCCCGGCACTTATCTTGGTCTGATGCCATTCTACGGACCAGGTTTCTGGAAGGCCTCTCGGAAGCTGTTACCACCAAAATGGGTCGGATCTTCCTGAAGGTGGCTGGCAGCCTAAAGGAGCTGATAGACAGGTCTCTGTACACTGAGTGCCAGCTGGCTGAAGAGAAGGATTCCCCGGGCAACTTGAGCCAGGTTCTGCCGACAGCCTGTAAGCGGAATAATGAGGAGGCCATGGGGAATGAACTGAGCGCTCAGCAGCAGACTGAAGAGGTAATGATGGGAAAATACACACAAGGGTTTGGGGCAGAAAAATGAAGAGGTGACGATGGGGAAGATTATCCTGCTCTTTTGGGTAGACTAAGGGAGAGGTCTGTGTTGTGTTGTGTGTGTGTGTGTGTGTGTGTGTGTATGTATGTGTCGTGGGGGGAGGCATTGAACTCCTAGACCATAAATCCCAACCTGGACTTTCATCAGCAAGTGTAGCTATGTAGCTATTTTGGGTGTATTAACCACTTTCAGGAGCAATATCCTACCTAAGTTATTGAGGACCTGAGATGGTTAAAGTGTTATCTTCTGATTATGAGGGAACTGACTGGGCTCAGTCCCAACACTATTAATCTGAAGCCCAATTCTAAGGGAGGGATTTCCTTCTGGTGGCTAGGTCATGCCTACAACTGCATTTGTTGTGAACTGAGGTCACTAGGGAATTTGGTTAGCCTAGTCCTTGGTCAGACTTTTTATGAGTAAGATCAATTAGCCAAGTTCCTTGATCTGCTAAGCACTGAACTTATCCAGGCAGGGCACCCCTTGTCATAGGATGCGTGACTCTTATCTCTGATTTTTTTGTCTCACTCCCAGCACCAGCATGTTTCCAAACGCTGTTACTACCTGAAAGAGCATGGTGATCCTCAAGAGGGTCTTCATGACCACCTTCGCCAGAGCACAGGCCATCAGAAGGCCCCCACCAACAAGTAATGCTCCCCGGACTCTTCGATGATATCTGACTTGGCTGCTAACCTGAGGACTGTTTCCTGGACCCATTTCATTCAACTGCATCCTAAGCCTTGTTGCCTTCATCCACGAGTTCCAACTCCAGGCACATCCCACCCTGTCTCCCACTTGGTCAACTTGACCTTCTTTACTCACCCACATGCCTGTGACCTGCCTGGACAGTCAAAGTGTGGACTATAAGAGCATATGGTATGTGAGGTTCTGAGCACTCATCACCATCAAGGCCATTCCTAGTTCTTGGTCCAGGGAGAAGTCCAGGCAGGAGAAATCATGTCCTACCTCAAAAACACTTTAGAGTATCTTGCCATGTGTCATCAGGCAAACTTGAGGGGGCTCTGGCCCCATTTCACCTGGAAGGACAGTCTATAAGGTGAATGATCTCCAATCCTATACCACCCTTTTAACCCAGGGGATTTGCCCTTACGTCCCACATTGTAGCACCTAAAATGGGTCTCTGGGGCCCTTGCCCAATTTATTGTCTCCATCCCAAACCACTTGTTTTGACCCATAATAATAATGACACTAGTGATAGTAATGGCTAACAGTTATTGATAATGTACCATGTGACAGGTGCTGAACTTCTGAAAGCACCATCTCACTACATTCTATCAGTAATGCAACTTGTTCTTGTGTTGTCAGCTTCTGACTTCTTGATCTACTGTTTATGGCCGTTGTTCTTCATTGTGGAATCTTTAGAGCTGATCTCTGGGTAAGCCCCTCTGTTGCTAATTGCCTTCTCTTTGGCTGTTGTGCTTCATGCCAGCACTCTTGACACAGGTCCTGATCTCTAACCAGGTATACTTAGTTAGAAGACAATATGAGCAGTGTTTGCCTTTGGGTGGTGGGGATATGGATTTTTTTTTTAAATTTTCTTTTTTCTACTTCTCTGTACTTTCCAGATTCTCTAAACTAAGCATGTATTACATTTGTTATCATAAAAGTAAATAAAGTTCATTTAGGCAAAAAGAATTTGCCTGTGGCTATAGGATTTGATTTTTTGAGCACTTCCATCAATGAATATTCATTATCCAACATCTGTTGGCCACTGTTTGGAGGATGGATAAGACCCCCTACACAGAGGAAAATTCCATTCTGATGCAGGGAGAAGTCAGAGAATAAGAAATACACTTATGTAAGATAGATTGAAATTGTGCTGAAGGGTATAAACACATGAAATCGGGATAATGGGGAATTTAATACAAATGGGACCAATTTATTCAATAATAATTTATCAATATACTTAGGTTACTCAAAGATCTTCTATAAACTGTAACAGTGACATGATTAGAAATCTGTTTTAGAAAATTAGCATGGCAACAGTTTGGAGGCAGAGTGGCTAAGGAGTCAAGAAAGCCACTGAGCCCCTTCTGCATAGTCCAGGTGACTGGCTAGAGGAGTTGATTCTAGGGTGGTGGCAGTGGGGGAGGGAAAGAGAGGAACAGAGCCAAGACTCTCTCTGGAGATTCAAGTCCACTACTCCATTACCATGGAAGTTGAATCTGATTCCAGGAAGAAGAAAATGATTCTCAGAAGAATCAAGGATTGGCACACAAATTGTCAGCCCCATGATACTATACATAAGAATCTGGCTCTGTGGACTGTGTGCAGCTGCCTCAATCACCAGTGCTATTGCCTTAAGAACAAGAGTGTGCAATAAGTTGGGAAACACAAGTTACAGGCCTAGCAATGGCTGGTCTCATTGGACCCTGCTTTTTCCGCTCTTGTCTGGGCTCGTTGGCTCACACCTCACCCAGTCTAGGCCCAAGTGGAGTTTGGAGTCCATGTTCAGTGAGAATTGCCTTCAGCTTGGAAAAGCACCAACAAGTTTTCTCTCTACTACAATAAGAAGCTGATGATATAGAAGTCACAACTGATGCCTGAAAATGTATATAGGAAGGAGAACGTCTTAAAAATGAAACTGATTGGCCGGCGCTGTGGCTCACTTGGCTAATCCTCCACCTGCAGCGCTGGCACCCCGGGTTCTAGTCCCGGTTGGGGTGCCGGGCACTAGTCCCGGTTGCTCCTCTTCCAGTCCAGCTCTCTGCTGTGGCCCAGGAGGGCAGTGGAGGATGGCCCAAGTGCTTGGGCCCTGCACCCCACGGGAGACTGGGATGAAGCACCTGGCTCCTGGCTTCGGATTGGCGCAGCGCCGGCCGTAGCGGCCGTTAGGAGAGTGAACCAACGGAAGGAAGATCTTTCTCTCTCTCTCTCTCTCTCACTGTCTATAACTCTCTCTTTGTCTCTCTCTTTCTCACTGTCTAACTGCCTGGCAAAAAAAAAAAACAAACTGATTTTCTTATAGCCATGATAATGGAGAACAGTAGTAATTTTTTCCTTATTTTCTCCCCAGCTACTCTTCCTTTTGATTTTGCCTTTTTTCTCCTTTGAGCTAATATCACTAGAGATAAATGGAACAAATGAAGTGCAATCATATCCTGCCAGAGCTCAGTCCCTGTTTCATCTGCCCAAAAGGTTATATTTAGAAATATTTCAAGAGCCACTCAGCATCTACATGGAGCTGGGCTATCATGTACCCAAGTACTTGAGACAATGTCATCTGTTGGAAAATGGTGTTTCATGTTTCTCCAGGAGTCATTGGTCCACGGGTGAAAATCATCTTTGATAGCAGGAAAAACTTAGATTTTATCAACCCCCATACTCACTTATGTGTTATGGTACTTATGGCCATTAATTTGGGGAAGACCCCAGCAATGTCACATGTTCTGAGACAGTCCTCTTCTGCTCTTCTTTGACTCCTACCCTGCCTTGTGGGGGTCACAGGCCCACATAGCCACTCAAGGGCAGCCACTCAACCCTGCTTGCTGGTGGGTACTTCTGGCTGTGGGAACACAGAGGCCTCTGCTGGGGAGGGTGTGGATTCCAGGGCATTCATAATTTTGCATTCATAGGGGCTCTAAATGGTGATACCCTCTCTTCTGACCATGTTGGGTCCACACCAATGGGTCCATCCAAAAGGGCAGAAATGTCTATAGCAATTCTGTATCAGCCTTTGTCACCTAGACACTGAACACATTACCTCTACCCTGCATCTCAAGGAGGCCCCTATGAGAAAAAAAAAATCTTGTTTCTTCTGGAAGAATTTCTCTGCCCTGGATCAGACTTTCAGACTTGGTCCCTATGTGTGGAGAGCAAAGGAACTCAGAATGTCTATACAGACCTGTCCTTCTACTCCCTTTCCTGTATTCTTCTAGCTGATCTCTAAACTTGTCTCCATGCCAAAGATGCTGTAAATCCATAGATCTCTTTAAAACATGTAGTCCATGTTAAGAGACACTGAGAACCTCTTCTACATTCCCTGTCCTTAGGGCATAGTTGGAGAGCAAATGCCATCAGGTCTTGCTCCTCCATTCTTCTGCTGTCCTTTTACTTACTACCTGGCCTCTATCCCTGCTCTGCAAAGACTAGCAGTGTACAAAACCTCTTAAAGACTGCCATCCCCATACAAGTACAGGCTTGTGCTGCCGCTGAATGACCAATATCACAGAGAATTTCAAGATATTTCTGAGTCTCACTTTTGGTTCATTCAGGATCCTACTACACTGGACTAGTCTGGGCAGATCAAATGAAAGAGATCTCTTAGAGAGTTGTGAGACAGGAGAAGCAAACTATAAAACCCTTGTGAGCCAAGGGAAGATTTGTAGATAGATAGTGTAGGAAGTTAAAATGATCAATGGAGGAATAAACTTGACTTTGAGCACTTCTACCCATATGGGCGCCAGTTCTAGTCCTGGCTGCTCCACTTCTGATCCAGCTCTCTGCGATGGCCTGGGAAAGCAGTACAAGATGGCCCAAATCTTGGGCCCCTGCACCTGCATGAAACCAGGAAGAAGCCAAGCTCCTGGCTCCTGGCATCTGATCAGCACAGCTCCAGCTGTTGCAGCCATCTGGGGAGTGAACCAGCAGATGGAAGACCTCTCTTTCTCTGCCTCTGCCTCTCTGTAACTCTGCCTTTCAAATAAATAAATAAATTTAAAAAAAGTATAATTCTTGGGGCTTCTTTAAAGTTAATTAAGCTTCTAAAAAAAGTGAAATTAACTTTGAAATTCAATGACTTTGAACAGCCATTGTCTCCACTGTTAAGGAATAGTTTTTTTTTTGTGTGTGTGCACATTGTTGAATTCTTTACTTAGTATAGAGTTGGTCTTCTGTGTATAAATTTAATTGAAAATGGATCTTAGTGGAGAAGGGGACTGGGAATGGAGAGGGAGGAGGTGGGGGGGGGTGGGAATGTGGGTGGGAGGGCAAGTATGGTGGGAAGAATCACTATATTCCTAAAGTTGTAGTTATGAAATGCGTCAACTTTGTATTCCTTATATAAAAGGTTTCTTTGGGAAAAAAGAGTTATTGTCTTCCTCCTTAGGGCCATAAACCAAGTGATACATTTCTTCTGGTTAAGGTGTTCCCCCTCTCCTCTCCTTTACCAAGAGGAAATAACAATTACTACTTGAAAGGGAAAATCAGCACCAAGATAGATATGCACAAACAAACATTTAAAAATTATCCGTATCTTCCATTAGTTTCCCCCATATACTTGCCTTCCCATAATTTTACTGCTGCTAGAAGCCCAAACTGGTTTTCCTTAGCTTGTTACATCTTTACAAATGATCACCCTTTGTTAAAATGGTATGTAAGTCCCTGGCTCTACCTGCTTTTTTTTATCTTCACTTATTTTCTGTGAAGGCCTCTGTGCATGTAAAAATGGAACTATTAAGATTAGTTAAATTTTGTGTGCCTTATCCCCTGTTAATATGTCTTTTTTAAGTTTAAGTCACAGGCTTCAGGTACATTATATAAGAGAGCAGAGTAACATTATGTTTTCCTCTGCACTGTAAACTTGAGCTTGGCCCTGAGGGGGCTGGGAAGTGGATGGGGTAGTGTAGGGCTAGTTGAGCCATATTCAGAATCCTTTCTCTTCAGGGCTCCTCTTTTAAATATGGAGGCAAATTTAAAAACAAATCCCTGAAGCCTGACAGAAGGCACAGTTTAATATGAACATCTATCAGACATTTATCACAGGTTCTGAATTAAGACTTCCCTTGATTATCTGATATAGCCTTCACAACAACCCCAAGAAGTAGGTGCATTCATGAATCCCATTTTTACACACTGGGAATCTGAAGCACAGAGAGGTTAAGTAACTGGCCTCAGGCTCCACAGCTAAATAGCAGCAGAGGTGGGATTTGCACACATGCAGTTTGGCCCCAGAACCCACACGTGAAACTTCTCTACTATATATTATATATGGCTTCATTTTTCATGACTAGATGACCCTTGTGAGGACTCACCCTCTTCCTCTGAACAAATTTGCCACTGTACACCAGCCAATATTTGAAGCTCATAAAGTAGGAGGCTCTGATTTTCCCTTCTTCCCTGACCTAGCTCCAGATGTCAATCCCCTCGGGTGCATTTGGGGAAAGTCTTCAATGTTCAAGGAAAAGAATCAATAACTGAGGAATGCTATTGCACTCAGGAGGTTCTGCTCAGGGTCTTAGCCGTGGCCTCAGAGAAGAGCAGCCTGTGTTTTGAACACTGGCCCAATATTCTTCACTGGACATCTTCCCTTTGAGAAGAAATGCACCCTGGGCCCAGGCATCTGTGGAAAGGTTCAGGGCTCTGAACGTGGAGGGGCCATTATGCCAAGAGCTGACCCTTCTTTCTCACTGCTTATGCTCTCCCCTTTTTCATTTCTCCCTCAGAAAAGGGGCAGGGTGCACAAGGAAAGAAGATGCTAAGTCATTTATTCATTTACTCCATTGCCCTGCCTTCCAACACCACTTCCCTCCCATAGACGATTAACCTACTTCTACCACTGGGGGAAGAATACACACACTAGAAATGCACCACATACTTCTGGGCTCAACAGCTTCATGGAGGCAACCTAGAATGGTGTCTCCTACTATGAATTCAAAGACATCCTGGATAAATGTGGGAAAA